CTAGTGTCCATGTTGGCGATGAAACATCAGCCAGATTGGAAGCAGTCATTATCTCTTGAGTATTCACCAAATATATATCATTAAACCTTAAACCAAATACATATCATTAAACTGCACTGCACAGGATGTGTATACCATAGAAGATTCACACCTGCCGACTTACATTCACTTTTGGGCATGATTCATTTTGTGGAATGGAGCAGCAGCAGTAGCATGAAGGAATCATATTTCCAGCTGGTTCACTGTTATGCTTTGGCAGGGGAGTTTTTTCCTGTGTGCTGCTTGCAGAACTTCCACTGAAGTTTCTTACAAACCATACTAATGTTTTACTGACATCTTCAATCTGGTATATTTTTTTTGCCTATGTGATCTAGTTTCCCACCTATTCATTCCCACCTGTTCAACTCTTGGCTGCCGGAATGAAGGAAGTGACCAGAACTTGGAAAAGAGTAGGTGGAATTACACATGTTAATAGCTATTACAAATGTCGGGATAGTCATGATACCTATTGGAGGGGTCCAAGGTACAGATGATGGCTTTGTGATGAAATCTGAGCAGTTGGTAAAAGGAGATTGCAAACCAGGTGATGAATGGCTGAAGATGTCCTACCCTTCCAAGTTAACCCTGCTGTGTTCAGTTATTTTCATGTTCCAGCACGCCAAGCTCCTGGCAGTATTGAAGCTCTTTTTTTGGTAGAAGGGATCAAACTCAGAACCTTTTGAGGCAGGCAGCAGCACCACTCCGCTGGGGATTTATCCCTGACCCCTGAAGCATAATCTTATGTTCTTTTATACCATTTTTCTTGTGACCACAAAGATAACCATGATGAGGACAGAGAGTTCTGACTCTTGCTACTTTTGAGGCTATAGAGTCAGATGCTGTTTGGTTGGCAGAAACAGTTTTCATGGCGTAAAAAGAAAAGTGAAACAAACCATTTTCCAATGGCACTAGCTCATTGGCCTCAAAACCTACTGCTTCAGAGAATGTTGAAGCATAAGAAGACTGAATAAATTTATTTGATGAGCTCTAGAAGACAAAAAGATGTTACTTCCCATTAGATTGTGGCAATATTTTTATGAAATGATGTGAAATAAAGATTACATATAAGAAATAGCAAGAAAAAGAAATTCTTTCTGTTTCAGGGAGATTACCATTTTTTTTATTGTACTTTTGAGAGTTAGGTGTGTATTAGGTGAGTTTATTTTTCTGATATTAAAAAGTCTCTTGTGGTTATGATTACTATTTTTGTAGCACTGAGGGTTGAACTCATGGGCACTCTGCCATGGAGTTATATCCTCAACCCTTCAAAGATTTTTTTTTTTAAATTTTGAAATAGGGACTCACTAAGTTGCCCAGGGTTGCCCTGAAACATGCAAATCCCCTGCTTCGGTCTTCTGAGAAGCTGAGATTACCACTGTGCCCAGGCGTTCTCATTATTTGAATAATTTTATAACAAAAGAAGTATGGCTTTTTAGATCTGGAAAAAAAGTATAGGTATTATGCAAATTTACAAAACCCATAGGTTAAAAAAATCTAGATATTTTCATAGTTTTAAAGTCTGAATCTATTTGCGCTTTATTCACTGGAATAAAAATTATATTTCCCATTACCATTATAATTCCTAGGAATAGAAAATAATTCCTATTTAATTTTGAGCACTGACAGCAGTAAACATTTCCTAAAGTAATTCCTAAAGCATTGTATTAAAATGAAAATAAATCGCATTTATATTTGGTGTGTATATGTAATTTTGCAAACATTAAATGGAAAATACCTGAAATTTAATTTTATTTCTAGTACTTTTCAGTGAGAACACAGTATTGAGTCTCAATATAAAGTCTATTAATGCACTTGTTTTAAAAACTTTTTTGTGTGAGGGTGTAGATTATATATATATATAT